GTGCGTGGGCGGAGGGCAGTGCGTGGGACAGAGGGCAGTGCGTGGGCGGAGGGCAGTGCGTGGGGACCCACGCTGTGTGTGGGTGTGCTAGGAGGCGGGTCCCTGGGAAGGGAAGGGAAAGTGCTCGCTCCCCCTCACTCCTGGCCCCTCCCTCCTGGCCCCAGAGGACTGCCGGGTGGAAGAATGAAGGATATGATACCTCTAGGCCAGCGGTGCCGCCCTGACTCCCAGAACCCATGGGGATTTCCCCTCCCCTATCAGCAGAGCCAAACTGGGAAGGTGGACCTGGGTGGGGTGGGGGGTGGGGGGCAGCTTTGTTCCTAGATTTTTGCCACACCACCACCTTCAGGGCCGGTGGTACGGTTAACAGCCTTTGACTCCCTTGATAAACGGGTGAGGCACCTGGTCCCCAGGTTCCCAGCCACACAGCCCACAAGCCTGCCCACACCCGGGTCCCGCAGCCCAGCCTCCCCAGTCAGGCCTGTGGGTAGCTTTACAGTGTTCTGTTTGCTCAGAAGAGAAAAAAAATGTACTAGACTGTCACAGCCACCAGCCACCCTCACCTGGGAACCGTGCCCCCGTCTGTCTGACTCAAGGAGGGTGGGCTGGAGCGGGAGGCAGGGTGACGGGGTGCAGGCAAGGGTGGTGGGCCGTGGGGAGGGGGGGGTGTAGTGTTTGACAGCAGGGATCCGAGGACCAGGGGGAGGTACAGAGAGACCCGCATGCAGGCAGCACCCAGGACAGGGCTCACAGGAGCCCAGAGGCCCTGACAGGTGCACAGACAGGGCGAGCCTCGTGAGCACCCATAGGTGGGCTCCATGGGAGAGAAATGGGGGCCACAGAGGCGCCTTCATAGCCTTCAGAAGGCTGCTCTGGCTCAGGGGAAGATGGCTGGAGGGGTCAAGACTGGAGGTGGTCATCACAGCTGACCCCACAAACAGGAATGGCGCCCCCAACAGGGACAGTGAGAGAGGACAGCCCCACCTGCAGGCTGTGGCCTCCAGTGGGTATGGGGAGCCCCTGGTGGCAAGGGACATGCCTCTATACAGAGTCAGATGACAGCTGTCAGGGGTGGGGCAGGGGTCTCTGCCCAGAGCTCAGGGCTCACAGCATCCTGGGAGGCCGGTAGGAGGGGGTGGCTGGGTTGAGGGCACCAGGAGCCTGGGAGTCGGGGAGCTTTCACCCCCGCAGCCCAGCTGCCTCCCGTTTGGTTTCAGAATGAGTTCCTTCCTCAGAGGGTTGTCCTGCAGCTCCCCGACTGCCACTGGGCATCTTAGCTCTTCTCTTTCTCCCCCAAATTAAATGCAGCTCTTGCCATGAATACTGTGGAAGTGTGTTTTTCTGATTTCATACAATTTCTTGGACCCTGTCCCTGTATGGCTAGGTCACCAGGGTGTCCTAGCTGTGGCCTTGGGAGTGTCTTTCACTACCTTTATCGCACTTTCATCATCGTGTTGGGGGATTAACATGGGGGCTGACTGGTTGTGGGGGATGCTGGCCCCTCGGGACTTGCTGTGCTGGGCAGGGAGGGGGCGCCTCCTGCCGCAGGGGCCTGGCTGATGGGCTGGCTGTCAGTGGGTGTGTGACCCGCTCCTGCCCGTGGGCAGGCGTCTTCACCTTCTGGAAGAAGGGGCCTCACCTGGCTTTCTGGTTCCTTTCCAGTGCTGGCCTGCTCCTCCTGCTGCTCAGCGGCCTGCAAGCCGGTAAGTGCGACAGCCCTCAGCGTCCGGAGGCCAGTTCCCAGCCCTTCGGTGTGGGGAGTGGGACCACGGGGTGCAGGTGTCAGCGGGGGCCTTGCCACAGCCCTTCTTGTTTTTCCAGGGACTCCTGTGAGGTCGCTGAGCCCCAAGCCTGGGTCATGGGTGGGATTGAAAGCCACAAAGGGGTCGCTTGTCTAGACCCTGTAGCTCTTGTTTTATCGCGTGTTTGTTGGGTATAGGCGGAATGCACCTCCTCCCGCGTGTTTCAGTCCTCTGCTCTCCCGAGGAGCTGGGAGCAAGGAACAGGGATGCACCGAGCTCAGGGCGAGGCAGGGCCGAGCACGGCCACTTCTCAGCCCTCCCAGTGTTGGCACGGATGGGAAAGCCAGTCTGGACACGTCACGTGGGCCTGCCTTGGTGCAGTGCGAGCAGCTTTATAAGTCTGTTGTTGAGAAACTGATTTTTTCTTTTAAATGTCTACATTTTTACAAAACCGTTTCAGTTGAATTAAATATAAACTCCCAAGAAGCAGCAGTCAGAGCGCAGCCTGGTCCCAGGGGCCACCCCTGCTTCTCCCACCACTGGCCTCTTCCATAGTGACAGGAAGTCAACATTAGACAATACATCGCAGGAGCTTTCTGCAAATTCCGAATTTTTAAAATATTGCATTCCTATGTGTATCTCAGGAATACATTCCTTTTCTACTGAAATGAGTCAGAATTGGTGTGTGAGAGGGTTCCCTCAAACTTCCCCCTCCAGAGTAACTTCGCAGGCGAGGTAAGAGTCAACCTCATAAAATAAATGTATTTTTTGAATCACTGCAGATAGTCAAGGAAAAGAAGTCAGAGCGATGGTGGGTAGCGACGTTGAGCTCAGCTGCATTTACACCAAAGAAAAGAGTTTAGATTTAAATGAACTTTATGTTTATTGGCAAATCACTAATGCTAGCGGCAAGGTAGAACCTGTGACTTACTACCTGCTCGGGAACAGCTCCACGGGCCATCACAACAACCGGTACAAGGACCGGGCCCAGATGTCACTGGACAGCATGAAGCAGGGCAACTTCTCTCTACGTCTGTACAACATCACCCCCCAAGACGAACAGAAGTATGACTGCCTGGTGTTTAGGAAGACGACAGAGCGAATTTTGAATGTTACAGTCACGTTGCACGTGGCAGGTAAGGGCGTCGACGCTGACAGCTGACTTCATCCCAGCCCCTGGCCTGGAGTAAGCATTAAGGAGACCCATTTTCTGGCTCGTTCACCTGATTCTTTCTATGAAGAAAATCCCAGTCTCAATGAGCAGCCTTCTGCTTAACTGTGCATGAAGCTGAGTTGGTTGAAGCATCAACCCGTAAGAAAGTTTTTCATAACCTGAGGCTCCCTGATCTCACAGAAATACTCCTAATCTTGCTGTCTTTGCCTTGAATGAGCCAACTCAACTCAAACTAGACTTTTAAAATATATATATATTTATTGATTTGAGAGAGGGAGAGAGAGATAGAAACATCAATGATGAGAGAGAATCACTGATCGGCTCCCTTCCCCACACCCCATACTGGGGCCAAGCCCGAAACCCAGGCATGTGCCCTTGACCGGAATCGAAACCAGAATCGAACCTGGGACCCTTCAGGCTGATGCTCTACCCACTGAGCCAAACCGGGCAGGGCTCAAATTAGATTTTTGAAATAAAATTAGGAAGGAGTTTTGAGATCAGAATTTAGGGAGAAAATGAAAGCCAATCAAGATGCTCAGGGCACCGCTAGTTCAGAGATGGGCGGTTCCTTTCAGCTGACGGCAAGCTCTCCGTGTCACTAGATGCAAGTGGCCGGCCTCTTTGGAGTGGGGAGTGGATGACAGCCCCTGCCCGCAGGCTCAGTAACTCCCCTGTTGGAGTGGGAGGGGGTGACCCTTGGGCAGAACAGGGCCAGTGTCCACTGCCCAGACCAGAGCCCTGGTCCTGTCTCTCTACCAGGGCCAGGGGCATGGCGGGCCGCCTCCCCTCTAACCTGGCCCTGGGCCCCGACACTGGGTACCCCTCCATTTCTGACCTTCAGAACCTGGCACCCCTCACCTCCGTTTCTCCCCCTGCAGCAAACTACAGCATGCCCGTGGTCATCGCCCCCACGGCCGCCCCCCAGGACGAGGAGCTCACCTTCACGTGCACGTCCAAGGATGGCTACCCTCGGCCAAACGTGTACTGGATCAACAAGACGGACAACAGCCTGCTGGACGAGGCCCTGCAGAACAGCACCGTCTCCCTGAACGCGCAGGGCTTGTACGACGTGGTCAGTGTCCTGAGGATCCGGCGCACCCCCGACGTGAACGTCGGCTGCTGCATTGAGAATGTGCTGCTGCACCAGAACCTGACTGTCAGCAGCCAGAAAGGGAGCGGTAAGGCCCCCCAGGATCTGCATGCCCAACCCAACCACGGTTCTGGGCCCGGGGTGCTGGGAGATCCTCTCAGGCAGAAGACAAAGCCCCTCTGAGGTGACCCGGCAGCGGCATCAGAAAGGGGTTGGAAGGGAGACGGGGGAAGAGTCAGGTGGCGATGGGCACGGGGCTGGGTGCTCAATGCACACGGCTTGACTTCAACTCCACTCATGGGGCCAGTTTGGTGACCATTTCAGAGGAGGGACTGAGGCTCTGAAAGGCTGTGTAACAGATCAGAAGCACCAGGACTAGGCAGCAACAGCGTCAGGATTGAAGCCTACCCACCTGCACTGCCCCCACCAAGCTTTTTGCTT